ATGCAAGTAGATATTTTTATTTTTACTTGTCTTCAGAATATCTTTTTCCGGAAGAAATGCAAAAAGAAAATCAAGTTGGCAAGAAATAAAAATTACGAAACAAAATAAGACAAAATAACAACAGCAATAACAAAAAAGTAAAAATTGCGAAAAACCAAAAAAGTAAAAATTGCGAAAAAGAAAATAAAAAATGTATGAAAACTAGAAGCTTTCAAAAATGTCAAGCTATTGTTGAAAGCAAGATTATTTCATCCGCACGTGTTGATTAATATCAATAAGAATGACGCCATTTCCAATTAATGTGTACGATTGCCGGGAAAGATTTGGATATAACAATGAAAATAAAAACAACGTCAACAATTAAGAAATTGCGAGAAAGAAGCCATTTGCATCATTTTTTCCTCCTTAATATTAAAACTAAGCTGTTGTTTTCTCATTTCATTGTCATACGTGAAATGTATCGTAAGAAAATTAAAATCAAAATGGCCGAACGTTGATCCGTATGATTGTAAACAGACGATAATGATTTGTCCGAACGAAAACGGACGCAATGAATAATATCTATTTAACTTATGAATATTTGATATGCATATTTTGAAAGAAAAAACGAACCGTGCATTTAATTCACTATCAGTGTCTTAGTTGATCAATGAAATTAATATTCAAATGCTTTATTATCAAATAAATGTTAATGTTATTGCTGGCACGATAAAGAATAAATTCAGAACCATTGTTCCAGATTATCGGCGTATATAAGACATTTATCCATTTAAATCTTTTTGACTTTGTTCTACATTAACTGAAGCGTCTATTACATAGTGAAAGGCGAATTATTAGTCTACATGTAGTGGACACCTCTAATGAACTAGTAGAGATTCCGCAACATGTTTTTAATAGAAATTCCGATTAATATAAAATAACAGATAAGTTCTGGTGGAAAATTGGACATATTTGGCTTGGAGCTGTCCAATGTTCACTTTCGAACCTTGAGAGAATTGAAATGAGTTTACGCGGCCTTGTGAGGGATGGATTATTTTCAATGCTACAATTCCTTTTTCCACAGACAATAAAACGCAAGTCTATCGCTATTTCCATGGTAAATGTTCTGACGATCTATATTCCTTAGCTCCGCTAATTCAGAATTTTACAACTAAAGCCCGCCAGGCCATGAACGATTTATCTTCATTTTCCTTCGTATTCCATTGGTAAGGAGGAAGTTCTACGCAGACAGCTTCCTTTTGAGAACGGCTACTTTGTAGAAGAGAACTCACCTGAGAATTCTCCACCGTTCATTGCGCTATTTATCTAACATATCCTCATAATCTGCACTTTCTACTCTTACGTCCATAGAACAATCTCATCTAGTAATCCTCTACCCTAGGACGATATATAAAGAAACCTGCAGAGTTAGAATGTTCTTAGAGGATTCTAAGAAAGTTTCTCGAAGCGTCAGTTACGGAGAGTAACCTGCGACGATTATCGAGAACTAGAAAGGCCAGTGGAAATTTCATGGTTTTCCTATTTGAATATTTGATGAATCTTATTTCTTAAATTAATGATTGAATAAGCTCATGGCGATTTTCTATGGCAATAATATACCCGTAGAAATTCCTCCATCATATCGTTAAATATTTGAGCTTAACAACTTTAACGAAATATTGCAAGAACAATCATAAATATGAATGCTCACATTTTTTTAAAGTAAATTTAAAATGACAACTTTTCTATTCCATTGAAACAGAGGTTAAACATTTTTCTTTCTTTCTTTCTTTCTTTCTTTTTTTATTTCTTTCTTTCTTTCTTTCTTTCTTTTCTTTCCTCACTGAAACGAAGTTGTGTCTTTGTTATGTCTTTCCCATTGTCCCCTGTGACCACAACGGAATAGTCCATTAATTATGAGGTATTAGCAGGAGACGGTAAACTATTCTATCACCCCTTGTTTGTTTGTTTGTTACTTCCTTTCTTTCTTCCTTTCCTTCTTTCTTCCACTAAAACCAGGTATCGTCTCTGAAATGCATTTTCCCTCTTTCCACGCAATCAAAACGGAATAGTTTATTATTTATGTAGTATTGGCAGGGCGTAACGGTCATGCTAACTAAGGGCGGGACAAACAGCATTATTATAGGATCTACAGAACGCATTCCCATAAAATGCTGTCGACGAGGAACGTAAGCTATTCAACAGAGGTAAAGAGCTTTGTATTTCCAATGAAACAATTCCAAAGTATAACAGATTGTTTTCATTTATGGCATAGGCAAAATATTATTTGTTGTTGTTTTTAATTTTGTTCAATATTTTTTTTACAGTAACGTTCACGCTGTAAAAGGCTCGCGGGCTACTTGAAGTAAAGGGTTACAAACCATTCGTCATGCTGATGGGAAGCAGAAATGTGTCTTTCAGAAAATTCATAAAACGTAGTTTTGTTTTAGCGGTGTTAATAATAACAAGGCGTTCCTTGCCCCAGTTAACAGCAGATTCTAGATAAGTTTCTCTTCTTAATTAGTTTCCTAGTAGTTCGTATTTTCTATGTCTTCCTAGTTGTTCCTACTTTTTCTTCATAGTTTTATTAGCATTATTATCTGCCGCTTCAAATGATTTTTTCATCTGCGTGGATATTTTTAAGCATTGACTGCGATATAGGCGATTAGATTTTACACGAATAAATTCATAAACCTTAAAATGTTAATATAAAATGTAGTTTTTATTTGTTTTACTTTTAACCGAAAAGAAAGTCAAATGCATGAGTAATTTTATATTTCTTTTTATAGCAAAAGATTTCATTAATAATTGTTACAATTCTACAGGGGCAAGTTATTAAGTTTTTAAAAGAATCTAGATAAAGATGTTGATAAAATTAATTAAAAACAGTAATAATATCAGATAGGTTATGTTAAAACCAGTAATCAGAAATGTAAGGTGACTTAATGGTTATTAGTAAACAAAAAAACAAAACAAAAAAAAAAACAAAAAAAATAAAAAAAAAAAAACAAAACAAATCATCCCACCAAAAAAAAAACAAAGAAAAAAACAAAATATAAAATAACCCCCCCCCCCACAAAAAAATCTGTCTATCCAGTTCTGGCGCCGGATGAGATTTTATTTAAAATTTTTACACAATTCTGATGCTCTGAAAGAAATTACGGATCCACGTCTTTTTTTTTTTGTTTTTCATATCCTAAAATAATTAACTCATTTTATTTAAAAAGAATTCTCCCCAGACAAGGCGATAAATCCACAAAAAAGCTAGGGGCTGCTGGGATTGAAAAAGAATAAAATGCCTTTAGAAGGAACCGGAAACCGAATCCTAAACAGGAAAAGAGTAATAAACATTTACTCCTGTTCAAAAAACCAGGAGGAGTGCGAACCGGACGATTCGCCAGTGAATACGATTTTCTTGTGACTAATTATCTGTTAATACTGAGCAGACACTCAATTAATCAACCTTAATCGAAATAAATTAGGATGCAAATATTTCTCAAAATGCAGAATGATCGAAAACAAGTTAGTACGTAGGAGGGGCCACACATAACTTCCGTTATGAAATACATAAAATTATAGCTAAATTTTAAATATATTCAACCAATCACAATCATTTTTGGCGAAAACATAAATTACGCGAAAAACAGATCTTTTGGTTGGGGAAATTTGACAAAACCCGAACACAAACATGATGGTGTACCCACGCCAGTAAAATATCCCGCCGAAGAAACAGCAATATCAACCAGTTTAATGTCGTCTTACTTATGTATAACAGTTGAGTATATAAATAAGCCATTTTAATGGTTTATTGCTCACATCCGTTCATACTACAACATATTTACAATTTAAAGAATTGTTATTCCTTTTCTCCCAAGGGTAAATTACTAACCATGCACACAAACGCACTAGCACGAAGACACCCAGTATACCCATAACCAAGACACCTGCTTCTCACACGCGTATAGCAAAATATGTGTGCAGAAACAAACATATACGCATAAAGAACTTTCTTATGAACCTCTCACAGAATATTAAACACTGCTTTTATACGATATTTTTGTATTATATTGGGTTATTAAGCTTTCTTGATTGGTTAAATAACTTAGTCGCCATTTTTATTTTTATATTTACTTAATGATGTTAGTAAGAAAAATGAAAGGACTCTTACACAAAGTAGTAAAAGAAAACTAAAAAAAGAATGGTTCACAGCAAAAGAGGCTGCCAGAGATGAGCGCCATGTATTGGGAGGGGGGAGCGTAAAAAACAACTGATACGGAAATTAATCTCTCTTGTTAATGTAGAAACAGACGACAAAAAAATGCAACACAATAGACCGAAGGCGCATAGTAACGGCAAAATATGCCTTCTAGAAATGCCGCAAACTCTTAAGAGATTGGAAAATGCCGTTAGAAACAAAGGCAAGAGTGATGAACTCTAATCTAATATCTAAACATTTATGGTTATGATCTAAGTCGAGATTCCAAACCTCCCCAGTTTGTTTTGGCACCATTTTATCTCGACTGGTTCAGCTTTTTCTTTTCCATGTCCGTGTATATTTTCTCCTTTTCCCACTCCCTTAGCGAGAGAGTTTTTTGATTCTGTCCAATGGGCAGAATACAGCGGTCTCTCCTTTTTGAGGGTTGGACGGGCCGTAATAACATCAATTATGTTTAGTTAACTTTGTGTTCATGTTTAGTTTATTATTGGGTTCATCTCCCTTCCCACTCATTATTTCATCTTCAGATTTTTATATATGATTTATGATTATTAAATTTTTATGGTATGGGGCGCGTTTTGTAGGTCCCCCTTGAGAGGATGTGGTATTATGGTGTATGGAGGATTGGTTGGAGATGGACGAGTTCTTGTGGTGAATTTGCAAATTGTAATGAGTGAATGGGTCGTGAATCAAATTAGCTTGGTATAGGATAGTTAGGGAAGACCAGCCTCAACCCCACTTTTTTCGGCCTTGTGCCACAATTGTATTCTTGTATACAATAAATATCATTTATAATTACAGTAGGCTTACAGCGATATTGAAACACCAGTTCTCTTACAATCACCAAAGTTAAGCAACGCCGAGTTTGATCAGTACATTCATGGGTGACCGTTTGGGAATATCAGGTGTTGTAAGCTTGGATGTGCGGGTGGTGCAATGGATGACGGCTTGAAATTGGAAATCGGAATGCAGAGTTCCAATTCCAGTTTAGTTCGTTATATTCACTCTCGCACAAATACCCATGGGAAAGGATAACGACTAACCTATGAGCTTGTGTCAATCGATGGCAGTAGAGGAATAATTTAGAATGGTAAAGAAAAAAACAAAAACAAATCAAAAGTTGTGGATATCTATGATAATCAAATCCCTGGGCACTTCGGCCTGGTATAGTTATTTTCAAAGTGTAGCTTAGATGTGGCACAAGGCCGAAATTATTGGGCACCCAGTGAGGATCGAACTCACTACTCAGTCGTAACTTCGGCCTGGTATAATGCTTAGTAAAATTGAGTAGTGTATTCTATACTCACTAGATACTCCATGCTTTCGGCCTTGTGCCAAATCTTAGGTACTATTAAGAAGCCATCTTGACTTCGATGTGGTGCAATAGTTTGCAATCTTGTCTCACTTGATCAGTTATGACTGAATAGTGGATTATATCCTACTGGGTTCCCCATACTTTCGGCTTTGTGCCACATCTAAACTCCGCTTAGCAAATCATTTGGGCACTTCAGAGTGGTGTAATGGTTAACAAACATGTCTCGTACGATAAATTACGATTGAATAGTTAGTTCGATCTTCGCTGGGTGGCTCATCATTTTGGCCTTGTGCCACAAGGCCATGTTAACAAAAGCAGTGAGAAGACATGGCTCATAAAAGAAGAATAATAATTAACAGCTTCTTCAAGTCTACCCAAGGTACTCTTTCAACATTTGAAGAAGTTCAAAAAGTCTTAAGAGCCTTGAATATTTTTTCAAGTCTGGCTGAAGGCTATGTGCAAAGAGAATGTAGAAATAATAATATTTAGTATGGAATTCTTCAGAACTAATGCTCGGATGTCAATGACAATTTAAATATATTTCTGGACTCTTAAAGTGGTTTTAAGCCTTGCGAAAGCTATGACCTATTTAACCGTTTTCATTCAATCAACAGAAAATTTAATTATCTACTTTTTCTGTCGCTTTTCCATTAGTTTAAAATCACCAGTTTGCTTGTCGGCTTCAATTATGGCGTTTATGAGAACACGAAGATATAATCAAGATTAACACTGGTTTCATTGAATAGAGGCAACCAAGCGAAGAAAGGTCAAGAAACACGCCATGATGACTTAACAATTTTAGTGATAAATACATAAAAAAATATAAAAAGAAAAATGACTCCGGACATTTTCTCTTATTTTTACAATGAATTTATATGGCCGTCATTTACTTTCAGGAAGAGCACAATATGAATGGAGACGTAAATTATGCATAAAGTCCAAAAATGAAACGTCAGTATACGCATAATTACCCTCCCACTCATTCAAACACAAATATATAGAGAAATTAGCTCACGTATCTAACAAATACATAGAACCAATAAATGCCTCAGAAGCTGGGATATTTAAAATAGGTTGCCTGCAATTAGGTAATACATCTAGAAATCAAAAGACACGCACTTAATCTTTTAAATTCCTTGTATTAAATAGATACAAAGTTACGGCTTTAATTTTGACTTTGAAAATGCTACCTTAGTAAAGAATAAACACAACCTCTTATGAAGAAATATAATAATTCAACCATGAATATAACTTAGAGCAAAAGTTCTCATCATTTTACAGTTGAGTTGGCTTGATGTAGCTGTAAGTATTTGCTAGCAGTTCCATTTCTCGCACTTCTCGCTTATGGAACTCTCTTCCGGTTTTTTCGGTCCCCAGTGGCCTCCCTGGCATCCCGACTTCACTCACTTTCTCCACCGCCGTAATGTAGATTTCCTGTGCCTTTTTCTATAAATATTTTCATGGTAATTGCTCTGCCGAGCTTTCCTCTTTGGTACTCATACTTTATGTACTTAAACCCAGTACTACATTAGCAACAATGATTCGTCGTTTTAGAGTTGAATTGTTTCGAGATAACCGTAAGTTTTTTGTCCAACAGTTCCTTTTCTTGTACTTCTCGCCTGTGGAACGCAGGCTTCTTACTGCCTAGTGAACTTTGATCTCCAAAAATTTAAAGGCAATATCAATCGTTATCTACTGTCTTCTTGATTCCTATTCTTTTATTGTTCTCCCACGTTGATATTTTTTTTGTTTTTCCTATTCTTTCGCAGGCAGTAAAATATTGAGTTTTAGTGGCTTTGTTGCCTTCTTTGGAGTGAAATGATTAATATATATAGAGTGGGTGAGGCAAAAGTCGGGCACCATAGGGGTCATTTACTAAAAGTAGAATTACACATGAAAATTTTATTTACTAGTTATTTAATTGTTATATGTGCTGTTCAAAATGTCCTTTTGCAAAACACATTTTAATTGTGTGCCTGCATGATTCATTAACACGTCGGAGAGTTTCCTCTGTCATTTTACTGCGTTCATTTAATTTTTTGTTTAAGTTTTTTCAATATTTCTTGGGCGCGTCTGAAAAACAACTAATTTCAAATGGCCACACAGAAAAAGTCTAAGGGCGTGAAGTATGGTTACCTCGTTGGCCACTCAACCGGGTATCTTCGACCTATCCATTCGTTAGGGCAATGATTAATTAATTAACTCTTCTGGTAAGCGTCTTTTACCTCATCTCTCTCTCTTTCGACATATATATATATATATATATATATATATATATATATATATATATATATATATATATATATATATATAAATGTGTGTATGTATATATATCTTACTTATTATAAAACGCAGATTGTGTGTGTTTGTGTGTGTCTGTACGTTTATATATTGGATCGGATTTCTTACATTTTTCGACCGATTTCAACAAAACTTCACAAGACTGCGTAAAATTACCTTGCGGTGGTTCTGACAGCGCCCAAAATTAGAAAAACACAATTGTTTTTGCACGAAATCAATTTGAAAACACGATTCTGTCGCCAGAATGAAAGGGGGACAGCTCATATCGAGCCATACTTATTAAAACCCAGGTTGTTTGTGTGTGTTCGTTTATATATGGGATCGGATTTCCTACATTTTTCAACTGATTTCAACAAAACTTCACTTTTTTTTGGCAGGTAGTGTTTCTTATTGTCTTGCACACTTTTTTCTTTATGTTTTACATTCAGAATGCTTTAAAAATTCCATTTACGAGACAATTGTTTATAATAAAATTCTATTCAATCGATAGACTCATAACGATTGAAAACAATGTTTTTGTTTGAGTTTGGGTTTGACCAATTCGTAAAAAACAAACAAAAAAAAAACAAAACAAAAAAAACTAATTAAGACATGCGTGTCCGTCAACCTTAAACAATAATCTTTGTCAATTTTATTTTTCAGTCTTTATGATGGTCGATACTTGATCTATCTCTTACTGTTACATCCCAGGCAACGCCGGGCTCTAGTGCTAGTATATATATATATATATATATATATATATATATATATATATATATATATATATATATAAATGTGTGTGTGTATATATATATATATATATATATATATATATATATATATTTTAAATTGTGTGTATTTAGGAAGCATTATTTCATTGATGCATGTTTCATTAAATAATATAGACAAGTTTTGTCTATTTATTTTATGCAAAATCCTTTCACATCGTCAGATAAGCTTAATAGCATTATCAATGAAAGACGAAAGAAAATCACCATATTGATACATGCTATGTAATCCTATCTAAGCTTTCGGCTTACATAAGCCATCATCAAAGATGACAATAACATTACAATATATTAAACAATACACGGACATGGCAATAATGATAGTCTGTTTTTCTTTGCATGGAAGATTTCCAAACAACGACAAATTCGTGCCACGAGACGCTGGACGCGATAATCGCACCACGGCTCATGACGTCACACATGATCACACGAAAGTGAAAACGAGAAGTGTTAAGTATGGGAAGCCGTTGTTATAAACCAAAGGCTTCTGTTATCATTTATAGGCATTTGAGCAAATTTGTAGAGTTTTCATAGTTTATTTTGTTCAGATTAGGTTTCAACTGTTTTATGTATATAGCTTCAAAAATTTTTAGTTTTTGTTTATTGTTTTCATGTTTAAGTATAGTTGTGTTTTCCACAAGGATTTTCCGGAATTGTGTAAGCGATCAGGCATGTTGTTTTAAATGCCTAAAAATGTTAGAGTTATTATTCAAATGTAGAGTCAAGCGTCGTGAAACCGAGTTTGTGATGTAACCAACATAAATATTATTTAATCCGTTAAATATTATTTAATCTCACAGAGTGCACTTGAATTTGTAAACTATGTTGGTTTTTTGCAAATCGCTAACGGTGGGGGAAGAATCATTGCGAAGAATTAAGTTGGATATACTAGATTTAGTGTAGTATATGATTAACTTAATTTTTTTGCTAGGATCTGTTGTAGATATATTAGTACTTACCATTTTTTTAGTATATTTCATCTTGTTTATAATTAGTATGCATTTGATTACGATATAGGAGATTAATATGTTTTGGATTAGTTGAAGTAGTATTATGTTCTATTTTCTTAGTATTGAGAAAAAATCTAATATATACATATATATGCTATTTTTTATCTATATTATTTATATATTATATATACGCGGTACTTATTGGAAAGCGCTCAATATCAGTGAGAGAGCTAACAACACATTTAGTTGTATTGATATGAATTTGTGATCCTGAGTTTCACGCTCTCTGCGATTACCAGAGAGCGTGAAACCCAGGCTCACAAACTCACATCAATCAAACTATATACATATATATATATATATATATATATATATATATATATATATATATATATGCGTGTGTGTGTTTGTGTATGTATTGCGTATATTTTGGCAGCATCTTTTCATCAAGACACGTCTCATTGAATAACTTAGACAAGTTTTGTCTACTTATTTTCAATAGGATCCTCTCATATTCACGGACAAGCTTCTTAATATCCTCATTAAAGCAAAAGCGAAAATTACTGTGTTAATACATTTTCA